TCACCTCACTCTGGTGGAGGGTCACGGGTTTCAACTGGGCCGACAGCGCGTTTGGGAGAGGCCCTCTGCCTCCTCCACCCACAGCTTTGTGATGACCAGCACATGGACCAGAGCTTTCTAATCCCCTTTTCTTTCTTACCGAGAAAGAGTGGTCCTTGGTTTCCAGAATCAGGGTTGGTGGTAAACGCCCAGTTGATGGAAGAAAGACCAAGAATGGGTTTGCTCTCACCACAGTCAAGATGCTGGTCCAGCTGCCACTGCAGACACTCGGTCACGTGGGTGCTTTTCTGAAGCTGTGCCTGTGAAGTTGGCACCTCTGACGCTGGGAAACTCACAGGTTCCTGGTAACAGTCCTCCCAGGCGTCACCTGAAAGGAAAAGAGGGTTCAGTAGGACCAATGAAAGCTTCTTCTTGCCTAGCCCTCCCAGAATGCCCATTTCTGCTGTCCTAGCCCATAAGTGAAACCAGCCAATAACCCAGACAACACTGGCAGACATCGATGTGAAGAAGGCGCCATATTTATGGCTGGGACTGGGGTGCGGAGAAGGCAGGTGCTAGGCTGCAACTTCTTGAAATGAGAAATCACCCACTTGAGTCGAGAGGGTCTGGGTGACACAGGAGGTCAAGCCTCTTATTCTGTTATTAGCCTTAGTCTTGGAGCCTAGAGAGTAGGTTCCACACAAGCCTCTCTCTATGCATGGGGGAGAAAGAGTTGTTGATATCTACCCACAGGAATAAAAGAAGAGGAAGAGACATATGGCGTGAAAGCTTCAGGTCCTACTAGAATTTGAGCTGGGAAAATACAGTACATTCCAGACCCTTTGGAACTTCCTTGCTTGAAGTTTTTGTCTACCCTTCCACTCACCCGTACATGTACATATAGAATAAAATCTATTCCCACGTGGGGCAGAATGGGGATGGGTGGTATTAGCAGCTAGAACTAGTGGGGGAGAGGGCTGAGACCCTGTTGGAAACACCTTTGTGTCTCTTTAAAGAGATTATATAAGTACACTGCTTCAATACACGTCCCTCCACTGGTGACTCGACAGTGCTCATAATGAAATGTGTTTATATATTTCTACTGCGAAATGAGTACACATTCTCAGAACCTGGGCTAACCAAAGGCACGAAGTACCCTCCTCTGGTCCAGGTCAGGCTGCTGTGAGGTCACGGCCGCCAGGGCCTGCTCTCCATTGCTGTGGGGCTCTCCTCTCACCTCCTTATGCATCCACACCCTCAACAAGGTTTGTTTCTCTAACTGTCTCTCATGTGTCTGTTACCTCTTAGTGTTCCAGAGAGCATCTGAGTTTGACTCTCATCAAAGATTCATCCAACCTCCTTCCAATTGCTCTCTCTGATTCCGTCCTCTCCACATTCTCAAAGGTCACCTGGCTTATCACCCCCCAAGCCTGTTTTATCACATGTGCCTCAGTTTATGGAAATGCATCCTCCCTTCCCTGCTACACAGATCGAACCTCCTCACCCTCCTGTCTTCTGTCCCTTTCTTCTGAAACATCACTTCCCACAACTCCCTCTGCACATCCTCCTAGGACTCAGGCTGGCCCCTTTCTGACCCCAGCCCTGTACCAGGAGCCTCTGTGAGCTTCCAGGGCTTTTTCCAAAACCACTTCTCTCAGTCTGGTGTACCCTTCATATTTCCACCAGGCAAACTTCATTAAACATTAATCATCATGTTTTAGGACACTTCCTCAGATTTTATGATAATTCACATTGGGCTGAAGGGTAAATCCTTGTATATCAACAAATTTGGTGTTTGAAAGAACTGTCAAAACTATCTATCCCCTTATTCTCCAATGTTATTCTAAGTCGATGTCTAGGATTGTTTTTAATTAGCGTTGTGTAACTTCATCATCTAATTTTATTTGCCTTTCTTGAGAATGGGTTTTATTAAACCTATGCTTTGAATATTCTTTGCATTGACAGAATATATAATAACCAAACATTTTATCAATCATCAACAATACTGCCCAGTATTGTTAGCGTGGGGAAGAGCCTCCAAAGGAAGATCAAGATGTAATTTAAAAATCAAGTGTATGTGTTGTTTCTGTAGGGTTTCTCCTTGTACAGAGAGGACAGGGTAGACCTGACTACTCGTATCCGCATGGCTCCATAATGGCTATTCACACTGTTCTCAGGTTATCATGCGAAACCAGACGCAGGATGGAAACGGTATAGTGAGATATTCTAATCATTCATCTCAATCCATCTGTGGGGATTTGGCCTTTCCTGGCCCATTGTGAACAATGGACTCCCAGGACTGGGTCATATCACACACTCACAAACATCTCAGACACATATCTGAGTCACATGTCTGAGCCTCACTCATCCTCTTCACGGGAACCCACACCCAGCGGTCAGTGTTTCTGAGATAGAGCTCCACAGTTTTCCATGGCTTCAGCACAGCCAAATTCAAGGCCTACCTGGACCCGTCGTGACAGCAGGTGACCTGGGGGCAGGACTGGGGAGCGGCGTGGACTCTCACCCTGGCTGTTCCCCAGAGAGAGCCCCGTGGAGCTCTGGCTCCACCTGGAGGGGCCGGGGAGCCGCCGGCTCTGCCCTTGGGACACAGTGCACAGAGGGACTGGGAGCTGGCAGGTCTGAGTGCGGGACCACAGGGGTTCTCTGCAGCCCTCTGGCAACTTTCTCTTCAAGATTAAGATAGTTGCCAATCATTTGGTTAGGGCAAAGAGAAAAACGTGAGCAACATCCTCTCTGAGTCACTGATGGTCCGACTGCTGAGAGGAGAGGACTGAGCCCGAGCCAGGGTGTCGGGCCCAGGAGAGCTCAGTGTCCCACCTGCCAGTGGCCAGGAGTCTGGGCCCAGTGAAGGGACCCGCTGATCCTCAGTGCCCTCGGCTTCGCCGTGAGACACCACAGCTACCTGAGAGGGTGCCTGGGAGGGCTGAAGGGCTTATAGTGCACTAGGAGCTTGCTTAGGAAGGAGCATGTGGACAGCAGGTGCACAATAACTGCGTGTTCCCTTTCTGGTTTGTGAACTACTGTGATCCTGAGAAAGCCTTTGCTTCTCTGCTCCTCAGGGAAGAATGAGAAATAAGAAAGAAACTGCTTCCAAGGTGAAAAGGCACCAACTGATTGACGGACAACTTTTATATGCCCAATATCATTTTAAAAGGAGTCAGATAAAATCTGATATATAATGGAGTTTCTTCTGATTTATCAAGATGATCTTACGAATCAAAGTCCTCACAATAAGAATGCTTCTCCTAAAGAAAAAGTCAAAACAATATCCCAAGAAGGATTTCATACTAGGTTTTCATTTCCACACCCTATGAACTGCTACCCAAGTGCACCTGGCCCATAAATTAGGTCAATACCCCCATCAGATACACAGGTTATGGAGAGTTTCCATGAGATTATACCACTGAGATTGCTTAACACATTGAAATCATAACCCACCCATGGAAAACTCCTTTTTGCTGCACAAAGGATGAAACACAAGGGTGTTTCTAGAGGTTGGAACAACAGGGACAGATATTTGGATTCACGGAAATGACAGGGCATAGACAGATTTGATGCTCAGGATCTAGTATCTAAATGCTTCAGAGGGAGGTAGGCAGCAAAGGGGTAAGAATCTGGAGTTGGGCAACAATATAACATGCATTACAAATATGGAGCAGATTGCAATCAGGAATCCAAAGCCAGAGAGCTTGCCAGAAACTATTCAAGGAATAAAATTAGCAACAAAATTTCATGACTATAAGGATTCTTGTCTTGATAAAAAGAGCTCTGTTACACAAATCCCTGCAGGTGAGACAGTGGTAGCTGAGATTCTGCCCTTATCCCTCCACTTGCCCTCTCTGGTCTGACTTGATACCACAAGCCTGTGCTGCTGAGATGAGTTCAGGTGACAGAGGGCAGCCCGGGGCAAGAAGAATGCAAAGGCTCGTGATGCCTTTTAAAAGTTCAAACTGATGGAATGATGAAAAAGTAAAAAAAAAAAGTTCAAACTGAGAACATAGTTCTAATCGACCCGAGCCTAAGAACTTGTCTGGGAGTACTCACCGTTTACATCTAGAGCCAAGAAAACTTCTCTCTTCTCTGTTGGGAAGGAGACCCTCCTAGAAGGAGGACAGGAGCCTTCCAGATAACGGTCAATAGAAGCAGCCAGATAACATTCATCCAGTGTGTCCAGGTGGACTTCGTTCTCTTCTACCACCAGCTGCTCCATGCTGAGATTGTGGGGTTGGGAGAGCAGATGGTGAAACAAGAGGGATGAGTCAACCTGGAGCCATAGCTGCTTTTGAGGGGAGGGTTAAGGGACACGTTGGAAAAAACAAATGGGGAGTCCCCTGAAAGGGAGGCATAACTATCCCCCCACCCACAAGCCCCAACTGGGGCCTGAAGGCGCTTGCAAAGCGAAAGGAAGAGAGAGTGAGGGAGAATGAGCATGAGATGCTCTGAGCACAGAGAAGAAATGAGTTCAGGAGGAAGGAGAGGAGCCACCCCAGGACACATAGTCACGTCACACACGCCCTCAGAACATAAAGGCGGCTTCAGATGCACCATACATTTTGTTGAAATATACATGCTGCATGCAAATGAATACCAGCTCTGGCAGCATAATGGACTCCTAGAAATCTTGTGTCTGCAAGACCAATTTTTCTGAGACTGTGATGGGACATGAATTTTGTTTCCTCGTTACTTTGCTTGCCACGAAATACCTGCCAAGGTCTTAAGACCAAAGACAGAGGCAGATAAGTATGGCATGCTGGTTTGAATGAAAAGGAGAGGACAGAGGAGTACAAGAAATCCTGGGCTGATCAGTAGCCCTGCTTCAGCTGACTGCAAGTTACTATCATTGAGAGGGATTCATAAAGGGTGAAAACAGACAACCTTGTGACAGGGACAATTTGTGGTGGTGTGAATGGAAGAAATAGGCATGTTCAGCACTTTCTGATTCCCCTGCATGTGAGATGACCAAATGTCACCACTGATGTCAGACCCATGTTTCTCCATAGTTACCTAGAACAGATGATGTCTTGATTTTCCTCGTCCTCAAGATCAGCAAGATTTTCTAAGGATAAATTCAGACACGTTGAGAAACACTTAGCAGGTCTCATCGTGTAAATTAATAACCCAGCGTCCAATACTGCCATGGGGACCTTTATATCAGCAACGAGATGACAGGCTATTTAAGAAGGATATTCCAGATGCCTCAAGTTGGATCTCTCAGACTCTCCTTGGTTTACTTTCCTGAGCCATCAGGCAAGATCTCTCTTCCCTGGTAGATCCTCACCACAGTATTCTCTTCCATGTTTCAGTAAAAGTTTAAGATTCATCTTCCCCACAGAGTCTGGGGAATAGCCCACAGCATTCTTGCAGAATACTCTTAATACTCAGGCTTTTCTCGTCATATGCTGACTGCTTTAGCACAATGATGAGTGGAATGAACAAAACATCGAATCACATGAATCCTAGTTGTTACACGGACCCTTCAGTCATTCATGGGATGGGAAAATGCCAGGGCTCTGCCTTGCTTCATGAAATACACACCCAAGGTGACAAGAGAGCTCTTTGCATCCTGGGGACCAGATGATTGGTTTGCTAAGACAAGCAATTTAGAGAAGCAAACACTGGGGATGACAGCAGTGACACCAGGGAGCAACAAATAATGAAGGCTCTGAGCACCTTTGGAAAGGCGCAGAAATTCAAGGGACACTTTGGGTATGAAAATGGGTGCCTTGTGGCAAGAAGAGACATTGCACAGGAATCAGGAAAAAATACAGTCGTCTCCAGACACCTGCACACATACAAGTGAGGGGTTCACTCCAGCCTTGGGTCTGTAATCTAACTTGGGGCCTGACCCATAGGCTTCACCTGAATGAAGAAGACAGCACTGCTCCCAGACCCACCTGATGTCTGTACTTAAAACTCTACCACAGAGTCTGATTCAAATCACTGTCTACAGAACTTCCAACAGGGATGAGAAATCTCAGCACCCCAGAGGTGAGGAGTACGAAGCACATAGAGTCTACCTGGGCATCCAGGTGGCATTCTGTCACAAGAAAATACTCACCGGTTACATCCCGAGCATAGGAGACATGCAGGTCCTCAGGTGAGAAGATGGCTGTGCTCCTATAAGACCAGCAGGTGTGTGCCAGGCTAGGAAGACCCGAGTAAGTCAGATAATAGTCATCCAGAGAGTTCTGCGGGACACCATATTCTGCCATCTGTGGCATCTGTCTGCTGAACCTGGTGGGGGAGGGAGGGCAAAAGATTAAGCCAAGACTGATCAGAAACTGTACAGTTCTATCTGGTTCTGATGGAATGTTTGAGTGGTGAAGCACGCCAAGGGTCTCATCCATCAGAGAGAGAAAAGTCTGTTTTGTGTGTGAGACAAAGCGTGGTTTCCCAGGGGCAGAAGAGAGAAAGAGCAGTAGGGGTTCAGTGCTCTGGCCAAAGAACAGGCGGATGAACAGACTGAATTCTCTCTGGTGGTGCAGTCATGCCTCACATACAGGGACACAGAACACTGGCTTTCACACTTCCATTTACGTTGCATTGACATTACTATGACACACACGCCAGCATGCTGACACCAAACAGAAAGCAGATACGCATCTCACTCTGTAAACCACACCTGATATAAAGATTGAGTGCAAAAGCATCACTCTGACTTAGTTCACCTGGGTCAACTGATTTGGGTTTTAAACTTGACAAGTAAAGAAGAAACGGGAAATAGTAGAAGTACCACAGTGAAAGCAGAGATCATTATGAAAAAGGATAATAATGGTGGGCAAAACTGACGACACAATATCTTCAGCAACTTCTGTTTTTCCCTGGATCGGGGTCTGCAGATGTCATGACTGTACAAAGAGCCGACAGATATTCAAAATTACCTCGGGGCAACCACCTCCGGTCCTTTCAGGTCATCATGATCATTCTGCTTTTCTGCAAATAAATTCACAGGAGATTGTCATCAGGCAAATGCCTTTCAAACGCCCAATCGTGTGCCTATCTTCACAATGTGGTAACAGGCTATTGAGACAGAAATCATCCAGGAGGCCCTAGAAAGAGCCTCAGAAGAAGGCACTGGGTTTCCTTCTTGAGCCATTGGGCAAATTTCCTTGATATCCTATGTCACTGGCAGAGTATCCTGGTCATGAGTCTGTGCAAACAGCTAAATAAATCCTTTCCCCCACAGTTCCTGGGGAACAACTTTGCTACATCCTCAGCCTGCTATAATATTCAGGATTTTCCATCTGAAAGGTTGTTTACTAATGGGATAAGTGATTACACACTGAGATAAATGGAAGTGGAATCCATACACCATCAAGTCAAATGAATCTCAAAGCTGCAAACAGTGGCCATTCATCAGGTCGGGAAGTTCCAGGGCCCTGCCTTAGCTCAGAGAAACATACCAAAAGATGACAGTGTGGCTTACCTTCTGGTTTCAGAAGACTTTGAACAAGATATGTCAAAGGAAAAGAGAGAACCTATGGGTTGATAGAAGTGAACTAAGTAGTGACATCTCCAAAGGTATAAACAAGCCTGCCAAAAGCCCTGGACAGGTGTAGAAACTCAGGGACATTACCCAGAAATGAAAAGTAAAGCATTTCATGTGAGATAAGAGGTTCACTCAAAATCAGGAAGCCTGAGCGCTACCTTCTGTGCCACAGGTGCTGAGGCACACGTGAGCCTGGCTGGACCACCTTGGGTAGAGTGGTTAACCACAGGGACACCCATGACAGTGAACTTAGAAAAGTTCATTCATAGAATGTCTTATTTTAAATGGAATTAGAGAGTCTGGTTCAAACCAGGCTTCAGGATGTAAGCATAGGGTCTATTAAAGGGGATTAATTCTCTAGGAGTAGACTAACAGATGTAATGAAGACTACCTGTGAGACCAGTTGGAATTTCATCCTCTTCAGCCTGAGGGCAACCACAGGCTCCATCCACGGCAGACTTCACATTCTCTTCATCAAATGCAACTTCCCCATCATTGTAAGGCTGGTTGCAGGCAGAACCTTCCTGGGGAGTGGAAGCTACTGAAAGACATTCATCCTGGGAATGTGGGAACACCACCGTCTTTTCCACATCCTGCACGTTCACACTGTGTCAGATGGAGAAGGGAGGACAGAAGATTAAGAGGACTCGACTCCAAGCTATCTGGCTGCTTCTGATGACAGGCATTGAGAGTGGTCACAGAAAGCAAAAGGGCAGCCCCCTTAAGGAGGGAAGGAACTCCTCCTGATGTGGAGCGGAGTGTGGCTGCCCTGGGGTGGGAGAGAGACAGCAGGTTCTCTGGGCACTGGCCACACAACCTGTGGTTGAAGGAGGAAACGGAACGTTCCCTGCATGCTATCGTCATGACACCCAACATGCACAGAGGACTGGGACAGCAGTTCAAACTTTTCTGCACACATTGTGTTGATCTGGATATCCTGTGTCCAAGTGAACACAGCTGTTAAAAAGTTAAAAATTTGTTTCTGTTTCGACTCTATTCCATTCAATTTAAAAAATTTTACTTGCACAAATATACCTTCCAAATCAGTTTTTCAGAGTTGGAGAAAAAGGAGTTATAGACTAGATATTCTGCCTTCAAGAACTCTTTTTTCAATATTTTGTTGTAATATGAATATCGTTCTATTTTCTTCCCTTGAAATCCAATATTTGCCATCATGCTGATGCCAAACCAATGTAAGACCATAGGATTTCACCCTACATGAACCACTCAGGAGAAAGCACATGAACACAGGAACTCCTAGGTTTGGTTATTGCACCTGGGTCAACTCACTGTACATTACTAAACTTGAAGGATTAAAAATTGAAATCCACAAACTTGTGAAACATAAATAGACAAGGTTGTTAAAGAGATAATTGCTGTTGAATGAATAGATGAAAGAATTACATAGACTACTTTCTATTTTTCTCTGGATCTGACGTCTCCTGCTGTCACCACTGACATTCACAGCCCACAGATCTTCAAATTACCTGGGAAATGTGAGCTCTTGTCCACTCACTTGCTTGCGATCATTTTCATTCTCTAGTAAGAAATTCAGAGACAGCCAGTCATAATAAGAAAATCAGACCTCACACATATCTACTCAGTAATCACATATACAACAAGGACTTTAATATTCTCATTGTAAGAACATACTTCTTTAGCAAAGTTATCCTAGGACACTTAAGTCTTGTGAGAATTAGACTGGACTGCTTCCAGAGCCACTGAGGAAATTTGCTGCTTGATCTGGTATCTCTCCCAACATCCTTTGTTCTGAGTCTGTATAAGCAGTTAAAAACGTATTTTCCACAGAGATGCTGGAACATGAGCTGAGTTATTTTCTAGAATTATTTCTATAGTACTGCTTAGTCCCATCAGATTATGTGGTTGTTGATGGTTTAGAGGAATTTATACTTGAGACTAGAGTGGTGGGTGAATTGTGAAAGCGTTAGCCATTCATTAGTATCTGTCTCTTTGTGACCACATGGACTAGAGGCCACCAGGCTCCCCTGGCCATGGAATTCTCCACACAAGAATACTAGAGTGGGTGCCATTCTCTTGTCCAGAGGATCTGCATGACACAGGGATTGAACCTGGGTCCCCTGCATTGCGGACAGATTCTTTACCATCTCAGCCACCACGATAGCCCAGTGAATTGTAGTAACCCTCAAATCAAAAAGAATCTTTGATGCTACACAGAAACCATGGCCATTTGAAGCTGGAGGAACTGCCAGAGCCCAGCCTTGCTTCAACATCCAAGCGAGGCTATGGTTCGGTTGTGTCTCTCTTGGTGTCAGATAACATCTTAGCTAAGACCTGCCAACATCGAGCAAAGGGCGACTGAGGTTGAGAGCAGTAAAACAAAACCTGGAAATCACCTCTCCTTATAAAGAGACAAGTCCGTTATCATTTCTGGAGAGGCCAGGAACATTTACAAAAATTAGATCACTGCAAGTAACAATACACTGGCTCCAAACTCCTTCTGACAGATACCTCCTGTGGATTTCCAGATGAGGTGGGTGAGAGTTGTCAAAACTGATTTGGCTCAAATGCCTGACACTGGGGTCAGG